TCAAGGGTTGTCAATACGCTATGGCACGAAGTATGAATTGAATACACGAATATATTTCAACATTTCTTAATTGATCTATTATTAGTAATTATTGTGCGAAATGTTCGAAATGTTACAGAAGATATTAATAATTATATAATAATATTTATTATTATATATGTAGGAATTTTCTTTATTGGCTCGTTTTTCTTACAAAATAACTCTATCTCTTCACACACTGACCTGACAACTACTCTGACCAACGACTCAATAACCAACTTAGTAACTGACTTGGAACTCCTTAGTAACTCACTAGTAACTGACACTGTCTCATTAAGATTTGCTAATATTGCATATAATAATTGCACATGTAAATTTATTTGCAATTGACAAAATAGGATGGTAGTTTTACTGAGATAAATTTGAAATTGAATTCGTTATAAATCTGGATTTTATCAAGAAATTGAATAGAATCTTTATGGAATATTCGACATAGCGTGAGGGTGATTTGATAAATCCAGTTTTCTGTGGAAAATGGTAGAGAAAGCAGCTGCACAGTTGGAGACATTGTTCTGTAGGCAAACTATTGGTCCAGAGGAGTGGGTTCTATTGGAGAGGGTGATGATTTGGTGGGGCTGATTTATGGGTTGACCTATAGTGTCGTGACCTAGCGGCCTTGTGAATTCTAGGTCCCAGGGCCATTATGTGCTCGAACGTAACATATGGGACGAAACGTCGAATACGCATTTGCTTGATGAAAATGTGGCTTTTCACGAACACTATGCCTCCAGTTGAAATTAGTTAATAGCTCCAAACATTTTAGCAATTGTAGAAATTCATTGTTTACCAACCCTCCTTTTCAATTCAATTTTTTTTGGGATTGGTATGTCAATTGTATATATTATAGTATATTATAAACTATTATATTAAATAATAATATTAATATTAATTATATTAATATTATATTAAATAAACTGTACTTTAGTTACCTTATTTTTGCAAAAATAAAAGCATTTATAGTATGCAACTATATATAGTAATGAAAGTGTTAAAAATGGTTCTTATGCCTAGTGAATTTATTTATTAATTCTAGTAGGCATTATTTTATATTGAACTCAAAATTTGGAAAAATTTTCAATTAGAAGTCTCCCTTTTTAATATATTCCTTGTTATTTGACGAATATTGTCCCCTCTTTAATATCAATAATCAATGATATACAGAGATTTTTTATCAACTTTCAACTGGTGACAGGATGTCAAATTGACTCCATATAATACTGATGACACGTGTCAATTTATGCATTTATACTAAAATTAAAAAATCTAATTTCACTTCAATTACTGATAAAAGATATATTTTCCTTTAGTAAAGCACTATAATACAGTAAAGTAATTGCCAAATATGTTTTATGATAGCAGGAAAGTACGTCGCCAATTGAAGTTTAATTGTAGAATTAATTCCATTTTTTGATATTATATTAACTCTTTGCACTCAGCGATGTTTTCGTCACTGAAAAATAGTAATTTGAAAACTTTTTGCCATAACGTCGAAAATAATAAATAAATAAATAAATAAATAGCAATGTAAATAAGGTAAATAAGAAATAGCATACAAATTACGACATAGAATTATTTTATTTCGACATATTTTTATATAACATCGATCTTCATAATCTGATAAAATGACGACTGAGGGTCGTCCCTCGAGTGCAAAGGGTTAACATTCTTTTCTCGATGAAGCAGCAAAGTGTAGTTCACGATCCAGATAATTTCTTTAACCAGAAATTTCTATTTTTCAATTAATAATCTGATAGTATAACAAAAATAAATAGCATAATGAATTGAATACTATTTTAACAGATCCGATAATTCTAGTGTTAAATAAAATTATTATTTATATAGTGAACGGATTAATTATTCGATCAAGAAAGAAGATCGTATCGAAAAATTTTCAATATCAAATTCGCAATCGATAACTTTTATTTATCCCACACACTGTGCGTTCTGTCAACGTCAATGTCCAAG